GCGAAAAATCGGGGAAACTGCCTTTGGCTGTGAGGGTGCGGGGCAGATGTAGAAAAGGGGCGCAGGGGGACGAAGGTGAGGCACCTGGCCAGGCCCTGGGGGCTGCCTGCTCGCAGCCCTGTCACCGCCGGGGGCCCCGGGGTGGGGGAGGGGAGGGGCATTTGGCGCCTATTCAAGCAGGGTGGGGTTGGTGGGTCTTCCGAGAAGGAAAAAGGGCGCCCTGGGATGCCACGACCCGCACCTCCTGGGGTTGGAGTCCAGGGTCAGTGTGGGTGACGGGACCCCGCGGCCCGCCATCCGGCCCCTGCACATCTGGCTCATCTGGCTTCCCCAAGATCCCCAGCCGCCCTCCTCCCGGACCCAGGAACCGCTGCCGCCGCCCGAGGCCGGGCGTGTGGCGTGGCCGCGCGTCCAGGCTCCGGGCGATGTCGGGTCAGGGCCTCAGGCTGCAGCCCTCCCCATGCACCCCTCTGGCGTGCGCGCCCCCCTCGCGCCCGCTCCCCTCACTCACTATCCGAGGGTCGAGGACGCCCGGCGGCTGTCACGGCGCTGGGGCTGGCGCTGCAGGAGCAGCGGGGTGGCCGTGGGGCGCAGCTGCAGGGGCGCCGGCTCATGCCAGCCGACGTGGAGTCCGCCTCAGGTAGAGGAACCGCTCCGGGGGAAGCTGAGCAACCTGCCTGCTTCACAGACCTGTATCTCTTAAAAGGCGCCAGCTGGTACTTTTAAAATCTTTGAATTTGGTGCCTAAATCCGCGCGGTCCAATGAGACGCGTCGCTCGCATGCACGCACCAATAGGAGGGCGGTGGGTGGGGGCGCCCTCTTCCGCGCCCAATTGGACGCTGCCGAGGCGGGGCCGAGCCGCGAAGCCCAGCCCCCTTCCAGCTTACCGGCTACCCACGTCCGGAAAGATGCTACGGCCGGGGGCGGGACCTCCGAGCGCGGGGAGGCCGCGGCCCGGCCACACGTGTGGAGGGCCTACCACGCATGCGTGCGCCCGCCAAGATTCCCTCCGCCGTCTTCCGGACCGGCCTCCTGCAAGTCCTAATCTCAGCCCAAATTCAGCGCCGGCTTCCATCTGGAGATCTTCGATGGGTACAAATGGTAGCCGACTTTCTTCGATCATCTCTCGAACAGCAGTTCGGTGAGCGGCAACTCGGCTTGTCCGGGAATCCAGACTTTCCGGAAGACGGACCCTCCCCCCAGCCCAGCTTAGCCCGCCTCTCTAGGATTTACGCGCGCGCTCGGCTCTCCCTCCTAACTTGCCCCTCCCCTTGACCCACGCCTCTGCGCAGGCGCCTTGGCGGGTTGTGGCTGCAGAGTTGGCGGGTCGGCGCTTGCGCACCGGGGTTCCCCGCGATTTTTTTTTTCCCGGGGCTGGATGAGGGGCGGGCCGCTTAGAGGGGCTGTGCGGCTGTCCCTGCGCCTGGCTGACATCAGCTGTGGGAGACCTGCGGCTGCGTCTCCCAGGGCCTTCCGGCGGGGCCGAGGGTGGGACCGAGGCACTTCTTCCTTGCGAGCGCATTTATTTGTATTTTCAGCCACCCTTCAGACACTTGGTTTACGCTTTCCTGGGTTTTTGTTCCTCTCCTTCAAGGACCAAGCGTAGGAGACAGTAGTCCTGCTCCCAAAAAAAGAATAAATAGAAGTCCCCCCTGGACGCCCCTGGCCAAGGGAGTTTTTAGTGATGGCTGGCGTGGACATCAGTATGAAAGTGTACCGGAGTATTAGTGATGCTCAACTTTTCACAATTTGAATATGCACTTAAGTAGGACAGTGCATTCCCTGAACTCAGCTTTATGGCTACAGCCCAGTGATGCCACGGGATGTGAACTCCAAAAAGGCGAATCCTCGTTTGCTGTTTCCCTCTGGTGCCTTTCTGCAGCCTCGGAGTGAGTTATTTGTGGTCAGTGTTCAGTACCGTTAGTGACGAGTCCTGTGTGGCGTGGTCAGGATTAGGATGAGTCATACAAGTGCTGGGTGGATCCTGTCTACCTAAAATTTTGATAATTAGTTCATTATGGGCTTTTTGCCTTTTCCATTTAAGAAAAAGGTTACATTAAAATAGTGTCACTCTTGATGACTGAAATTTTTTTCATCCCCGTAAATGCACCTGAGGCCTGTGCTTCCTTGTCTCACTCTAGCCTGGCCCTGGGGCTAGGTCCTGGAGCTTCAGAGTTGAAAAGACAAAGTCCTGTCCTTCAGGGAGTTTACAGAGATCAATGGGAAAGAAGTTGACAGTGAACAATTTCAAAACACGAAAAAGGATATGAAATAATGTATTGGGGTAGAGAATGCAGATTAGTATAGGTTAAGGTTTTTGGATGGTCAGGACGCTTTCTGAGGCTTTGAACCCGGATCTGAATGTTGAACTGGCCATGCAGAGCTGCATAATAAACAGGGAATAATAAGCAGAGGGAATGCCTGACTACAACTTAGCAAGAAAGAGCGGAGATGAGGTTAGAGAGGTAGGCAGAAGCCAGATCCTGTGGGACCCTATGGGTTTTCCATGTAGAGTTTAGACTTTCTTCTGATTGCAGTGGTTAGTTGTTGAAAGAATTTTGGCAAGGTAGGTATTTGTTGATAGAATATTAAAACTGTAACAGCTTTTTTATGTAAAAAATAATGTAAATGTTAGCTGTTCATTCTCACAATAGGTTAGCATTATTTTCAGTGTATAATGGTTGTGCTTCTCAGTGTGAGTGAATTCTCACTGTGGCTACCAGAACCACACAGCTAGTAAGCAGAAATGCTAGTGCCAGTCTGCAGGATTCAAAAAGTCCATGTGCTTTCCGCCTATGCTGTGCTAGCCTATAGCACTGTCTGCTGGAGCCCTGGTTGATTTTAGTACATTTCACATTACTTCACAATTTGACCTTAGAGATAACTGTATTCACCTTTTATTTTCAGATGCTGGCAGAAATACAAAATTTGAAGCAGGCAAGGGTTCTCATTACATTATTTTTTATTTTTATGTTTTTGAGACTGAGTCTCACTCTGTAGCCCAGACTGGAGTGCAGTGGTGCGATCTTGGCCCATTGCAACCCCTGCCTCCTGGTTCAAGCGATTCTCCTGCCTCAGCCTCCCAAGTAGCTGGGATTATAGACATGCGCTACCACGACTGGCTAATTTTTATATTTTTTAGTAGAGACAGGGTTTCTTTCACCTTGTTGGCCAGGCTGATCTTGAACTCCTGACCTCAACTGATCCGTCCTCCTTGGCTTCCCAAAGTGCTGGGTGGCATGAGCCACTGCGCCTGGCTCATTAAATTAGTTGAGCATCTGGAATACAACCTTTGGATCTTATCCTCAGCTTAGATTTGTTCTTCAGCAGTTTTTTTATTCTCCAGAAAAAG